GTCGTCCAGGACAATGGGCCCTGAGCCCTCACCAAAGCGGGCACTTCCCGGGGCCGACACGGCCCGGCCACAGCCCAGTTGCCTGCACACCACGTCGGCGTCATTGGTGTCCCAGCTGTCGTCACACACGGTGCCCCAGGAGCCTCGGTACAGGACCTCCACGCGGCCCTGACACTGGTCACTTCCATTCACCAGCCTCAGGGACAAACCTGTTTCGTTCCCTAGCAGGAGACACAAAAATTATCTTTCTCTTCCTCCCCGGAGGAAAAGCCCCAGGGTCTCAGTGGACAAGAATTACTTCAGGGACCATGACTTCTGCATGCAGGTTAAGGTTGCCCAGCACAGGACTCTCTGAAGCTTGCTCACCATTTTTCATCATTGAGGGGCTATTCAGATACCCTGCAGGGTCATGAGGTTTACGCATTACGCATGTGCACAGTTTGGTGGCCCACAGTGTCAGCATTGGGATTGCTGACTGGTCATGGGAAGCAGGGGCGAAGGGTCAAAGCCAGCCGCCTGCCTCCCTACCTCGATGACCAACCCAAGCACCTACATCAAGCCCAGAGTTCCTACCCAGCCACCATCAAGAAACTGTCCTAGACCTAGTGCTTGCAGACTCCACCTTCCCCTGAACGTCCTATGTCGCGCGCCCTACTACTGGGCCTGAGGGTTCTTGTGAAGGTTCCTTTATGCTGACCGCTGACCCGTGTCGCTCTTAAGCCCCGAGCTCGGACTCAATCTGAAACAGTCCGTGAGCCCTCTGAATATCCTACCAGTGGGCAGGACTAACGATCACTGACTCTGAGCTGTGCACACCTACAGCAGCCCGGACCTGTGGGTGGCAGAAAAGAAACACAACATGGCAGCATTAGGTCTGCCGGCAGGAAGGTCATTTGCCAGGTTCAGCACGACAGCACACCTCGTGAGTGATCGGGCTCACCTGGACCCAGCCCTTTGCACCCTGTGAGCTGGGCTGGGGCATGACCATTGTCTGGTTCTCATTCTTCCAGGCATGCGTTCAATGACAGCTCTGGTCTCCAAGGAAGATGGACACATGCAACAAACCCATGGGAAGACGACCGCTTCCGCAGCCGTTAGGAAAAGGCAAATCCTAGCCACAGACAGATGACTACAATGAAAGTGACAGAAGAAGTCGTGTCGTTGAGCATGTAGAGAAAGCACAACTTCCAGACACTGCTAATGGCACCCTACATTGGTGTGGCTACTGTGGCAAACAGTTCAGCGCTTCCACAAGAAAGAAACATAACGTCATCACTTGACCCACACATTCCACCCCTAGGTATATACCCAGGAGATCTGTAAACAGCTGTTCAAATATCAAACTTGTACACAGCAGTCATGGAAAGGCTATTCAAATGAGTCAAGGGTAAAATTAATCGACGTGGCCTTCAACCGATGCATGGTTTAAAAAAAAAAAAAAAAGGCTAGGGATTCATGGGGCCACTGTGTACGTGTGCCATCATGGTGAACCTTGAGAGGGTCTGCCATTGAAAGAAGCCAGCCACAAAGGGCCACATATGCACCGAATCCATTCATACGAAAATGCCAGAGTAAATAAATCCATATTGACAGAAGGCAGACAGGTGATGACCAGAGAGAAATGGGATTGGGTGTGAATGGTAACGGCATGGAATCTTCATCAGGGGCATGAACAATTCTGGAAGTAGATACTGTGATGGTGGCACCGCTCTGACTATCCTAAAAACTCCGGACTCTAGACCTTAGGCTGGGGAATTGTGGGGTAGCGGTAATGCCCAGAGACCCAAAGACAGAAAAGCAAGCACTATTTGGCCATTTGCTTCAGTCCTGACTCACACAGACCATCATCCCCGTCCTACTGTAGGACTGAAAGAAGCAGGAGCAGACACCCCTACGGTCCCTACGGAAGACGAGCTACCAGGCTCTAGGGGCAATCCACGCCCTCTCAGTGGCCCCACGGACACTGCACTGTCAGCACAGAACTGGACCCGAAACCGGAGACAAGCTCCAGAGTAGAGCACGACATGGCCTGACACCCCTGGCAGAGGCAAGCTTCTGTGCCTGGACTGGGCAAATGTGGGCAGCATTCAGCAGAGAGCACTTGGGACAGAACAAAGCTCTGACAGGGAAGAGCCTCTTTCGGTCAGAATCCGCTTGCCTTGATTGTAGGTACAGACACCATCGGACCCATGAAGTCAAGTGGCCAAGACCCCTGTCCATGAGGGTCAAGGAGGCCCTGGTATCACATCTTGTCCCTGTCTCCTGAGGAATAGGACGATGGCCATGGGGACCCTGACCCGGGAATCAGAGCCCATGCACTTGCTTCCGGTGACTCATCTCTTCCCAAGCAGGTATCAGAGGCCTCCCAGGACAAGTCAGCCAGAGAATGGGTGACAAACAGAGTCCTTCTCCTGGTGGCACGGGGACCTGGCGCTGGCATCGGCCCCTCATGCGCACAAAGCACAACCATTATGAGTCCGAGCACATGAGAGAAAATGGTGCT